CAGGTAACTCTCCTGTCAGCTGTATCTTGATGAGGCTGTGACCACAAGCACTTTTATTTTTAAGCCTTATCTTTATTGCAGTTTTCTCCCACATTGCTCGGAAAGGTGAAATGCACCTTATCTGTTTGTCTGCTGGCAGCATGCACTGTTCCTGGGGAGGGGAGAGGTACAGGTGCTGTGCTGGCAGCACCTTCAGCATGCCCTGCGGACCAGGGTGCTGGGGGTGATGCTAGGGCAATGCCAGGGAAAATGCTGGGGTGATGCTCAGCCAACCTTGCACACATCCATGATGAGTCTTGGGTGTTGTGTGGGAAAGTGAGGTCCCTGCAGCCCCTTCCTGCCCGCTGAGCAGCTCCAGGCTGTGTTATCACTCTGGCCTCTGGCCAGGGGTTTAATTATATGTTTCTGACGTAGCAATAGAGTAAAACTGAGCTGGGGACTAGGTCAGAGATGCCGAAGTGATGCTTAGCTGGTACCCCAAGAACTGTAAGTGCCCAATCCCAGCCTGGGGCTATGGAAGAGTGAGGCAGCCAAGCCCTGTGCCCACCCCCTCTCCGAAAGGCTGGTAGAGGGGTGCTGAATCTCGTGTGATGACAGTCCCCAGGGCTACTGTTGTGTCCATCCCGAGATGGCCCCAGGTGCCACACAGGTTCCATTTTCAGCAATGTCCTCAGGAGCACCCAAAGGTGCCGGGCAGGAGGGTGCAGGGCCATGGGCTGCCCCTGCAGCGCTCCCTTGTTAATGGTTAATGTGACTGGGCAGTGGCTGTGGCACAGGCTCCCTGAGCTATCAGTGCTGCCATCGGCCCCGGGAACAGCCTGTACCTTGCTGCTGCTGCTGTTTGTTTGCATCCTGGCCACTCCACCCTGGCCACTGGCCTTGTCACCGCTCTGCAACAGCCAGCTTCTGCCTGGACTGTCCCCCAGCCACCGCGATGGTAGCTTTGCGGGTGCCAGTGTCACCTGTGGTGCCCCTGTTTGATCCTACATGGAGGAGATGAAGCTGGGACTGGGCACGGAGCACCAGTACTCTCCCGAGTGGACTATCCCGTTTGGATGCTCCCTTGAAGGAGGCAGGGTAGCAGGAGCAGACCAGAATCCCTTTTTTCCCTCACCCTTTTTAATGCCCTCCTGCCCCAGCACGTGAAGGCGTTCTCTGCCTCTTGAACACTTTCTGGGAGGTGAAAAGCATTTGTCAAAAGTCTCCCACGGAGCCTTATGCCAGCTCTGAGTGGTGCTTGATGGAGCTTTTAGAGGCTACTTTGAGGGTTGATGGCCCCGCATCGCTGCAGGGCTCTGGGCTGTTCCGGTGGTTGCTGGTGCCTGCGGGTTTACCTGCACCTTAAATCAGGGAGGTGCTCGGGGCGATGGGGTTGTAGATAAAGGGAGTGTTTTCTTCCTGCTGCAAGAGAGAGAAAATAGCAGCTCCTTGACCTGCGAATGCCCCAGGGCAAGGTCACATCCTGGTGATGTCAGGAGCTACAGCGGGGTGTAGAGCCGAGGAGGTCCTCAAGCAAGGGAAACTGATGCTGAGGTGGGTGTTTGGTTCCTAGTGAGAGGGGCAGAGCTAGGCGATCTTTGGGGGCTGGGGACAGACAGTGGCTGTCACTGGCCACTGAAAGGCTCTTCCCGTCTCTTTCAGGATGTGACTCGGGCTTTGGGCAGGCAACAGCCCGGCACTTGGACATCATGGGCTTTCGGGTGTTTGCCAGTGTGCTGGACCTGCAGAGTCCCGGTGCCCAGGAGTTGCGCCGGAGCTGCTCGCCACGGCTAACACTGCTGCAGATGGACCTGACCAAGACAGAGGACATCCAGCGTGTCCTGCAGCACATCCAGGCCCACACCAACAGCACAGGTAGGAGGAACCTTTGACAACCCCACAGAACTCCCCGGGAGCTCAGCCTGCAGCCAGTGTGACAGTGCCAAACCTCCATGTATTTCCATGTGTCCCCACAGGGGGCTGCATCCCTGCAGGCACCTGTGCCAACAGCCTTTGCCAAGCTCTCTTCTTGTCCTGGGGCACCCCACAAGTCCTTTGCAGGACCCCCCAGTCAGCCTGGGGAGCAGCTGGGAATCCCAGGGTGGGGCTTCCCCATTCAGGTCACCTCTTCAAGCACCCCATCCCCACAGGACTCTGGGGCCTGGTGAATAATGCCGGGTTCAATGACACCATCGCTGATGCTGAGCTCTCGCCACTGGGCAAGTTCCGCACCTGCATGGAGGTGAACTTCTTTGGCTCCCTGGAGCTCACCAAGGGGCTGCTGCCCCTGCTCCGCTCTGCCAGCGGCCGCATTGTCACCGTGAGCAGCCCTGCAGGTGAGCAGCCTCCCTCCAACATGGCACCCCTGGCACCCTCAGCCCAGGCATGGCTTGACAATCCCCATGGTGTGGTGCAGGTCCTACCCCCCAGGCACTCCAACTTTCTCAGCCAACTGGCACCAGGAACTCTAGGATGAGCTGGGAGCACTGCTGAACCCCACAGCAGCCACCAAGACATGGGGAGACATGGGGGCTGGGGACAATCAGCCTGGTCACAGGCGTCATGGGCAACCCAAGCCCAGCTGCCATGTGCCTCCACTGGGGATGACTGCCCCAGCCAGGGTGGGAAAACTGACTTCCTCTCCCCTGCCCTTTTTTTTTGCCCATTAAAACACATTAATCCTCCACTGGGGATAACAATCCCAAGTTTTAGCGGGACAGGGAGCAAAATCAATTTCCTCTTCCCTCACCACTTTTTTTTTACCCCATTAAAACAATAATTTGAAGCTAATTTCAGTTGTTTTCTCAGCAAAACAAACCCTAAACCATTTCCCTGAGCAGGGGCCAGGAACACAGCCCTACACAAGACCTGCCCTTACCCCCACTCCACTCTGTCCCTGGTGGAGCACTGGCTCACTCATTCTTTCACTCATGACAGGTGACATGCCCTTCCCTTGCCTGGCAGCCTATGGGGCCTCAAAGGCAGCCCTCAGCCTGGTCATGGACACCTTCCGCAGCGAGCTCCAGCCCTGGGGCATCAAAGTCAGCCTCATTCTGCCTGGCTACTACAAAACAGGTAAGAGGGTCAGTGCCTGTGGGCAAAGAGCAGGTATCCTAGGGGGGCAGAAGATAGAGCAATGGGACGAGCAGTTGGTGGTGCAAGCATGAAGCTTCTGAGCATCTCCAGCCATATGGGGACAGCAGTTACCCTCTGGCCGCTGGGCTCTGGTGGATTGGAAACATCAGGATCAAGTCCTGCCAGCAGATCCCATACCACCAGGACTGGTCAAAGCAGCTCAGTCACGTTTATGGTAGCAGCATTCCCACTAGAGGCAGGGTCCAAGACCGTGGTCCAGTCTCAGACTAGCAAGAGTCACTATGGTGCTACTACTGTGCTTCCCTCGTGGCAATCTTTGCCAGGGTCTCAGCTGGACCTTCCTGTGAGGCTGGAAGGTGACTGGGGCTTCTGACACCCATGGCAGGTGCCCTGGAGTGGGGGGCACACACAGCTCACGGGCACTGTTTCCTTGCAGGGACGACATGTGACCCTGCCTTCTGGAACCTGCAGAAGCAGCAGCTGTTGGCCAGTCTGCCCCAGGAGCTGCTGCAGGCCTACGGTGAGGACTATGTAGAGGAGATCAACCAGCAGTTCATCCAGTTCATGAAGGTGGCGGTGGAGGACCTCAGCGCGGTGGTGAACAGCATCACAGACGGGCTTCTGGCTGCCAACCCAGCCGTGCGCTACTACCCAGGGCAGGGCCTTGGGATCATGTATTTCATACACCGCTACCTGCCCTATTTTGTCCGAGACTTGTTCTTGAAAGGATTCTTCATCAACCCCAAGCTGCCCCGAGCGCTGCGGCGAGAACACCACAATGATGTGAAGAAGGCCTGACCTCAGCCTGCACACGGCCTTTCTCCCAGGCTTTCCAGGCACACCAGCCCCCGAGCACATGCAAAGCCAAAGGCACCGCCCTCCTGCACTGTGGGGGAACAATCAGCGCTAGACGTTAAAAACCAAATTTCTTTCCAAAATCAGGTAGATCTATTTTCTATTGTACAAGAATCAACATTTTCTAGAGACCGTGGTTTTGTATTTTTTCTAACCGTGCACCCTCCAAGAGGCCCATCCCTGCCTGTCTCAGCAGCTCTGCACCACAGGCTGGGATGTACCTCCTGAGCCCACCACCTTCCTTTCTGCTCTCAGAGCTGTTTGTCTCCATCCCCTCTTGGCTGGGTCAGGGCTGGGATCCTATGGCCACTGCCTCCCTGCCACTCATTACACACTCCACATGCTCCCCATGAGTGCAGGGGCCGAGACCAGGCTGCCAGTGCTGCAGAGCTCTTCATGAGATGAACTATGTGATTGTCACTTTTTAAATAAATCCATTATTGATATTCCAGCAGGTTCTGGCTGTCTCCTTCCGCAGTGCAGTGCTGCAATGCTGCTCAGGGATGCCCAGCCTGTGGGCAGAGCTGAGCTGGGTGATGGCTGGCACCATGCCAAGCACTGTGGCAGGAGCCTCTCATGTGGCAGCAGGTGCCACAGGTACTCCCAGAAAAGGGGTCAGCTTGCCAGGAAGGATTTGTGCCCACTCCTTGCTCCTCTTTCCAGCCCTATGCCAAAGACTTTCTATTGCTTTGTTTTTGCTTGCTGGGGCAAGGATGGAAGCAGTGACAGTGCCCACACTGTCATGTGGACAGCCCCACATGCCAGGGACATCCCCACATCCCTAAGGATGATCCCTACGGATCATTCCCTTAAGGCTGCACCCCTTAGGCACCACTTAGCTCAACGGGCAGCTGCACCCACAGACCAGGCACTGTTATGGCTTGGGCTGGAGGAAGTACCCTGGGGCTCATGGGGTGGTACTACCACCAAGCCTGCAGTAGAAACAAGAGTCCCAACTCACTCAGGAACCACATCAGGCTCCATTACCACAACTACCAGATTCCCTGTGACTGATGGAGCCTCCAGCTGGGGCTGTGGGAGCAGGTGCCCAAGTAAGCAGGAGAGCACAGTGCAGTAGGCAGATATTTATTGGTGTAGAGAGGAGGGGCTCACAGAAAAACAAACTGCAGAGGTGACCACAGCACAAGCTGGGACAGAGCCAATTCTCCATTGATCCTTCCAGCAGCATCCAGCGTGTTTCCCTCCAGCAAGGCTTGTCTGCTGCCATTGCACATCTCCCAGACTTCAAGTGCAACTAGGAGCTAGCCAGGACACGGCAGCAAAGGGCAGAGCTGTCACACCATGCCCAAGGCTTGGCTCCCACCCCGGACAGGCAGGGCCTGGGACATCCCTGCCCCCAGCAGGGTGACTAAGGCTGCTCTGTCCCATGGCTAGCTGTGCCATACAGCTCCATGGCAGTGCCAACCCATCCTCTGCAGGGGAGAAGCCTGGATGTCTACCCTGGAGGAGTGCAGGGGTCCACCACCACCCACAGAGCCCAAAGGAACCCCAGTTTTTGCATGGTTATGACAATAAACTGTAAGCTGTGGGTCTCCACAGCTCTGAGGAAGGCGCTCAGCCAGCTTATGGAGCCCTGTACAGGGCAGCAGGGAGACTGATGAGAGCTGCTTCTGCAGACACAGAGAAGCTGCAAACACTGCCAGAGTGGGAGGAATGTGCTCCACAAGCACTTTGGCTCTGCCCTCACATTCCCACAGGCTCCATTCCAGTCCTGGCCCGGGTTGCTTGGTCTCTCCCAGGTCAGGGTTCACTACAAGGGGATGCAGGGATTGCACAGCAGCATGGGCTACGCTATAAACCACATTATAACTACATCTCACAGGAACAACACTGAGTAGGAGACGTGCAGAGCACTGACAGAGGGCCCCCCAGCCATGGCAGACCTGACCTATTCCTCTGCAGCAGTGGGACCCCCTCAGAGGCAGTCCCCCGCAGCTCAAGCTTGCTCTATGAGCATAAGCACACACAGCAATTAGTACAGGAACACTGGGACTACTGCATACACAACAGGAGGACCTCCTGCTGCACAGGGCTAAGCCTGGACCACTCATCCCTCCGGACATCTCACAGTACACACAACTCAAACTTCAGCTTGTGAATAATTTAACTAGCAACTGTACAGTTTCCTCATTTGATCCAGTTCCACAGATGGGACATCCCTGGAGTCTGGGCAAGGGACCACTCAGGGAGTTAGGGGTCCCTCCGGACTCCAGGGGTGGGAGGGTCAGACAGGAGCAGAGCAGAGTTAGAAGATGGGAATGTAGTTGTCGATCTTGGTTCTGTGCCGCTGGGCGATGCACTCTGCGATCCACACAATGTTGCGGCACTCCTGCTCCTTCAGCTTCACAAAGGCATAGAAGACTCCAAAGTGGAATTGGTTGAGGAAGGCCAGCTTGTTCAGCTTTACCTGGGGAAAGCCCAGAGGAGGACATGTCATTTGTTCACCTCAGATAGGAGGAGTTGGTCAAGGCAAGAGTGGAGCTGCTTGGAAGGGCCCATGACTTCCCAGAAGGCTGGAAGGCTCAGCACAGGTATCCTGTTCTGCATCTCTCTAGGTCCTCGGGACAGCTCTAACCTACAGCACATGGCTCAGGACAGGCTCTGACATTTGAAGGAAATATTTATAACTCAGGTACCATGAAAATCCTTATTTTCCATGTAATTACACTCTAGTTTTCCTATTGATGGACCAAATATCCATTAGCAGCCCCAAACATGCCTCCCCACACTGCTCTAATCTGTCTGGGTGAGACAACAGACCAAGCATTATGCCAGGCCCCCCATCCTCATGCAGGAGCAGAGGGCAAGCATGCTTCTCCTTCCCCCAAACCCTGTTCATCCACAGCACTGCTGACAGGGCAGCAGGCTAGCTTCCTGACACCTGGAGCTTTGCAAATGGCACACGTCAAGAAGCACGTCAGGGCTCACTCACCTCGTGCTCAAAGAACCGGTCTTCAAGGGTTTTGTCTCCAGGGTTGCTGCCAGCCCCTTCAAATAGCAGCTTGTACTCCTGCAGAAAGGCATTACACGAGGATATACTCTGTACCCAACTTCAGCAGCATTTGAGGGCCCCCTGTGTCACAGTTACTCCAGCCACCCTGTCTAGTCAGAGGACAGAGAAACCACGAGCCCTGCCCCTCTCCTCTGAAATGTGCTGTTCTCAAAGGTGTATAATTGCTTTGAGCCATAGGAGAAGGGGCATCAGATACAGACCCCTCCATGTACAGACTGAAGTGTTTGGGCCAGACCCCTGTGCCCACACACACAGGCTGCTCAGTAAGGGGACACTGACTCTAAACAGATCCCCAGTCATGTACAAAGCGGCTTGAACACAGACAAATCCAAACGTGTCCTCCCAGATCAGCATCCCATCTTCAACTGAACCAGAGCTCAGGGCTGGAAGTGGGGCAACACCTCTTCTCACTCAGGCAAGGACAGCCTGTCATTGCTGCCACATCAGCACCTCAAGGGTTTGGTGATAAGTTCCCACACCCTGGGACAGGGAATATTGTCTCTCAGTCACCACTGAAATGACAGCCATGACTAACAAGCCAATGACATCTCAGTGAAGCCAAGTCCTGGCCAAGCAGAGCACAGGACCAACAGTATCAGAGAAGATTGGCATCCCTGTCCCCAAGCTGTCAAGCCACAAGCTCTCCCAGATCCCCAAGGAGCTCTGATCCAGAGAAGGTTCTTGTACCAATCCCCACGCCCCTCATCCCAGAGCACTCACAGGATAGTAGTCAGCAACATTTTTGACTTGCTCGTAGTCATCTGCCCTGGCCAGCTGAGCCAGGCCCTCAGGGTAGAGCTTGCCACAGTGTGGGAACAGCTTGGCTCGGTCCTCCTTGGACAGCTCAGTACCAAATGAGTTGATGGTGATAATGAAGGCCCTCCGGTCAGCTTCAAACTGTGGGAAAAGAGTGGCTCATGCTGGGATGCAGTATCTTAACCAGAGGCTGGCAGGTAACAGTGCTACTCTGCACATAGCCACATCAGAGGGCAGCATGAGGAGGCTGCAGGGATGTGTACAGCTCTCTTTTGCTCAGCCAGGGCAGGCTACAAGTGCAGGCTCCCAGTATCCCCAGTACCTAGGGAGCATTCAGGTGAGGAAATCCCCATCCCAGGCACAAATCCTGCCCAAATCAAGGAGTCTCTCTTACCTACTGCTCCTGAGTCCTGCACATCTCACAGCAAGCCTTGGCATGGACACAGGCTGTGACCCAAACAGCCCTGGTAGCTCTCCCACTTGTTATCCACGTGAGAGGATGAAGATGTCGCCACAAAGGTATCAGTATTTGGGGAACCAAAGTCATAGGCAAGCAGTGTTGCCCAGGCCTCCCAGTGAGCAGGTCAAGTGGGCATGAGGATGCTGAACACTAACTGAAGAATGCTTAACAACTGGCAGACAAGCTGGGCCTGAGCAGGGAGAGATGACCATCACTGTAATACCATCCAGCTACAAGAGTTTCCAGACCTACCTCCAGGATTGGGCACATGGCATCTGCCGTGGTACCTCCCAGCGTCTTGCAGAACTTGTAGAAGGACTCCAGGTAAGCCTGGAAGAGAGAGGGCAGATGAGCATTCTTCTACACAGCTTCATCTACTCTCCCACAGGGGTCTTCAGCAGAGGACAGACAGCAAGCTGGGAGGCTCCCAGATGCTCTGTAACACAGCACAGGCACTCTGGCCCCATGTGAACTTGCCCACACAAGGACAGTGCTTTCCCCAGGAGCCAGAGAGACATGAAGGGCTGTGGTTGGGTTTGTTCAAGTGACTGCATGAGCTTACTGTGGGCAAGATCCCCAAGCAGCAAGGTTAAAGCCTATTTTTCTCCTCTGAGTCGCCTAACTCATTTACTGAAGTCTCACATGGTTTCCTGACCCTGCTCTGGCCTCCACAAACATGCCAAGCCACACAACCATAGCTACAAGACCTACACTCAGAAAGTAGCGCTGTGTAAGCAGAGTCAAGAGATGAGACAGGACATCTGTGAAAGAAACCAGCCATTCTCTCTAATTTTCTTTTCACACTGTGACCACTTGGTCTCTATCCCAACTGGAGCACTGCAGAAAACATACGGCCAGGCACAGCTATGCTGCCTCCAGGAAACGTAATCCTTTGTGGAGATGTTCCGTAATCCATCTGGAAGATTACTCTGTCTCCCAGGGGGAGCCCAAGAAAGCTGTGGATGGCTAAAAGTATCATTCAGCAAAAATGTTCTCAGAAGAAGTGACCAAGTAATAAAACACCTCCCTGAGCAGAGAGCTGCAACCAGAATCACTCAAAGGTATAGAATAAAAGGATGCTGAGACACCACAAATCTCTGCTTTATCACAACAACTCTAGGACTGAAGATGGACCAAGAATGTACAAGTTCAAAACCCTCAGCCACTGCACTAGGAAAGCACCTGGATTACTGTGTTCTGTATTTGTTACCACACAGTGCAAGAGGACAGTGCTGGGTTGGCATCACTCATCAAAGAAAGCCTCTCCAGCACTTGCCACTGCTCCGGCAGAGGAGAGCACAGAGCATCAGTCTGCAGAGTTACCACAGGAACAAGGACATGGATAACAGATGCCATTTGAGGCTGGCAGGAAAGGGAACATGGAGAAGAGATTCAGTCACTATCTCTACCCTCATCAGAGCTCACGCACAAACCTAGGGCTTTAGAAGCAAATATAGGTGAACTCAAATATCCAGCAGTGAGTGGGGATCCGTATCACAGACAACATGGAAACAGTCTGTAAACAGCTGCATTGGCTGCCCTTCCCGTGACAGAAACACTCCAATGTCCTGAAGCCCTTCCCCCAGGAACGGAGGTGTCTTTGCCTTTAATGATCCTCAGTGGGTCTTCCCTTCCATGAACCCACCCCCGTCTGCCTCGGGCTAGCCTCATCTGTCCTCAAATCCAGTCTGAAGTTAGGCCTGTGGCCTGTCCATCCACACTGACTTTTCCTCCGCGATCTGCAGATATCACCCTCCTCTGTCAGCTGAGGAATCCTAGTATTTCTCTGTAGTTTTCCTTACAGAAATCGTACCCAAGCCTCTTAATTTGTCTGTCTTAGCACAATCTCCTGTTCTGCTGTTCATACTCTGAGATGAGTGGAATGAGATAGTGGCCAGGTCAAATACACTTTACAGATGGATGCAGTAGCACAGTGATACTAATATAGTTCTTTTCTACTGTTAGGAACATGTTACCTTGTAGAGAGACAATTGCTTAGGTCACTCACTAGCCAAGACTCCATTTAGTAGTAGGAAGAAGCAAGGAGACCCTCACTGTACAAGCAGAGTTAGGGTTCCCCCTGGCCTCTCCCATACACCATTCCACATTTATCCACACTGATTTGCCTGCTTTATTTTATTGTCCAGTCACAATGCTCCTTCAATTGGATCCTACAAGAAAGTCACCAGCAAAGGCCAACAGTCAGCTGGCTTCACTTCAACAAGAGATGGAACAAAGGAAGTAAGCACTGAAGATAACAAGGCCAACACTAAAGATAACAATGCCAGCACACTTCCATTGCAACACTTGGCTGCTGACTGCACTCTACATTAAGCACTGAACATTTTAATATTTCCACCATTTGAGAACCTTCATTGCTAACAAGAAGGCTTTGTAATAGCTTCTATGGATCCTGCTCAAACCTTCTGTCAACACACTCACAGATTCTTTAAAAAAAACTCCAGTATGTCTGGGAGATAGCACTTCCCCTTCCCATGCCAACTCCACACGGATGCAGGCATCTGTCTCAGACCTGCTGTGCTTTTCAGAGCAGCTCTCTGCAGATTTCAGACCTGGTTTTATTTCCCTCATTTGCATTGTATTATACATTTTCCAGTCCCTGGGGAGAGAGGTAGCTTCAAGTACAGTCTGAAAGCAGCAATCACCTTTTCCACCCCTTCATCCCTGTGATTTGTTACGGACAGAGCTTCTGTATTCCCCAGGGGCTGCTCTTTAGCAAGAACCAGTGCCAGCACACACTAAGGCATTACAGGCACCTACATTTCCATTTGTGGGTAGGAAGTGCAGACTACAAAGCAGTATTAAGCCTCAAAAAGGATATTGGAAAGGACATGGCAACTGGGATCCAAGGGGATATATCCCACCTCCCTCCCAACCAGCTTTCCCGTGCCCACTCTGCTGCCTGCCTTCCCCCTCCTGCATCATGTTAAGACCGAGGCCTGTGCCCTGCAAGGCTGTGGTGTTTATGCACACAGGTGTCCCTCCCTGTTACAGCAAAGACCAGTACATGCCAGAGGCCACAGGCAGTTGGGCATGACTGCTGACATGCTGCTCCTTCTCCCTCCCTTTGCCTTCTTCCCTTCACGCCTGACCTGTTCTCTGCCTCTCCAAACAGGCCACAGCTTCCTTGGGAAGAAGAGGTCACACCGACTGCAGGCTGGCCATGACCAGCCAAAACAAGATTGACAGATAAAATCTATATCCCACCCCTGATCCAGAGAGTCGAGATGGAGCGATAGCCATAGCCTGCACATAAACACACACTTCAACACTGCCAGCTAAAACCAGACAGGGCCTGCAGAGGTGACAGCTCAGGACAAGGGGATCCTTAGCCCCTCCACATCTCTCTGCCAATACTCTCCCCAGCTTGCACCTTTTACACTGCTCTACCAAGAACATCTAACCCCAACCACAGACACAGAAGGCTTGAGCAGACAGTTGGAAGGTCTTTGGGAAGGGCTCAAGGCAGGGAGCAAAGCCAATGGGAGTCCTACAACCAAATTTAAGATTAGTCATTGTGAATGCAGTTAACTACACCTCTGAACCTATGTGGTGAGGGAATAGACTTCTCCTGACTGCCTGAGGCATGAGTAAATTCAAAGACACCACTTCTGCAAAATCTCTTGCAAAGACTCTTGACAGCTCCAAGAAAATCCTCCTCTCAGCCTAGCTCTGGTACCCTGTCTCAGCAGAGCCGTGTGATCGCATGTCAGGCTCCTCCAGGAGTGCTATCCTTACTTTCCAGTGGATGCAACTAGGTTTTGGCCATGTTTAATCACCATGCCAGGAATAAATAGGGAAGTTTACACCTCCTTTCCTTCTCAGAAACTCTAGCACTAGGGCAAGAGGCAACAAGCAGAAATTGATGCACAGGAAGTTCCACCTGAATATGAGGAAGAACTTTTTTACTGTGTGGGTGACCATGCACTAGAACTGTTCGTCCAGAGAGGGTGTGGATCCTCCCTCACTGGAGATATTCCAGGACCATCCAGACACAAACCTGTGCCATATACTCTGGGATAGTCCTGATTGAGCAGGGAGTTTGAATCAGATGACACACTGTAGCCCTCTCCAACCTAACCCATTCTGCAATTCTGTGAGTCATTTACCTTATACAGGGTGTTTCGAATTATTTCGATATTCATTTCATCCAGGTCCTGTTCAGATATGCAGTCTTGGAAGAAAGCAGCTGAAACAGAGCCAGAGACAGAGTTAGCATTGTCGTAAGTAGACCCATGCTCAGCACTTTCCAGACTCCTCAACAATACCAGGCAGAAGCACACCCTGTGTTGAGCTTGTCCCTCCTAGGCCTGGCCCTTTATCTTCAGCAGACAAATTGTCATGACTCAAAACCTCAGGCTCCACCATGGTTCCTTAGGCCATAAAAATTTTTGGGGTTCTCATATGAAAATATTTCTTCACGCCTTAGTCCTATGGTTTTGTTAACAGCCTATTCCCAACAGAAATTCTCAGCTCTAGTCCTCAGTATCAATAATAGAGAAAGTCTGTATTTAAAAATAAGCAATCCACAGACTGTTCCCAGATGCAGGCACTTGAAGGCGAAAATGCAGCTTTGAACTGCCTGCTACAGCACTGCAGGAGTGCTTAAGTACCTGTGAGACAGCAGCTAGTGAGACAAAAGGAGCTGATGCTTCTCCCTCTTTCTATAATATTTTAGTGGGGATTAAGAAGGCACGGTGATGCCACAGCTCATATAGCCCATGACACTGGTCATGGCTGGTGTCAGGAGTTGTTTCTTCTGGTCAAGTCTATTAGTCTCATTTTCCACTTTGTCCAAGGGCTTTTATTTCTCTAGCTGAAAGTTAGTAACAGGAGACAGGATAAATTAATAGGACTTGGTAGGATGCTCAGCCCTACATACTTTGCCAGAGTACCTCTGGGAGGGAGTTGGAGAAGTTGTGGCCACCTAAAGAACGCAAATTTCAGACCAAACAGGTGCTGCAAGCTGCAGATATAGGTGAGTCTTGTACATCTACAGTGCAGTGTAATGCTGCTGTTGTGTTCTTGCTAGCAAACGATTGGTACAATAAACCCACTGACAGGACTTCCTGACTTCAACTCCCACTCAGTAACCAACTTCGCTGAATTTGCTACAAAGAGAAATCTGATCTGTCTCAGCTTACACAGTGCAGCTATGTATAACAGACACCACAGTCCTGCTGAGAACTGACCAGTGCTCTGCTCTGTGCAACAAATCAGTTGCAATGCAGGCTCACACCTCTGGCCTGCACCACTTTTATAGCATGAGCTGCCTGGAAAGACAGCAGCTACGATGTGGGTCTGGAGGGTCCTGAACAGAGGTTAACCTCCCCAGAAGTTTCTTTGCAGCACCAGAGCACAATGCCACGTGGCCGGAGGAACGCTGCTCCCAATGGTTGGCAAAAATGCAAACAGAGTGTGCCAGGACTGGTTTTTACTGCAGGATGCGCTGGCCAGCCTGGATAGCTAAGCAGTGGCTACTTCAGAGTAGCTGAGGAATGAGTACACTGCTATTTCAGTTCTTGGCCCTCCAATATCCCAAATTAGGCTTACAGCAAGTCTCATTTTGCCCTGCTAACCTATGAAAGCCATTTGGGGTTAGGCATTCCCACCAAGCCACGTAGTTACTCAAGTCCTTTTAGGAGATAGAGATGCTGTTTCTTTGCGTGTGGTCACTGGAAAGAGTGCAAGTTCAACAATCAAAGCCTGCATGCCTGCTTGTTTAGGCAACACAACTTCTCCCCATGTTCCCCTGCTGAAGAAATGCCACACTGCTTGGTACACAGCCCCAAGGGCATGGCCTGGGCAAAGGTCTGGAGAAGCCAGCCCAGGCAGGGCTGAAGCAGGCAAAACCAACTCATGTACAAGTACATGAACACAAGAGGCAAAGACCCTCAATTGTCAGCCATGTTGTCCAGAAGCACCTCAACACTGACACAGGGCATTTTCACTCCATATTCTGCTGGAAGCTTTAAGGTCTCTGAGAGATAATATCTCTGAAATACTCTGTTCTATCTTCTTGCCAAAATGGGAAGGTTCCCACTTACTTGTGAGGAGGATTTTCTTCCCACACATACAGTGGGCTCAACTCAACTGCATGCAGAGCCTCAGTTCTCCTGCTGCGTTGTTGCCCTGCCTTGCAACCCAGATCTCTTGAGGCACGTTCTCCCTTCTTTACTGGGCACAAGTCATTTTTCCATGACAACGACTTCATTTGCCCCATTATTACACAAAGCATTTACAAAAGCACTTTCAGTTCCAAACCCAACTATTTCTATCAAAGACAGTATGATGACTTAGCGTGTTTTGTTCTTTCTAGCAACCCCAAAAGAATGACTAATCACTGACTCAGGCATATCTCATTACGTTTTTGCCCACAGATGCTAAACTAGCAAGTCACCTGTGACTACCTCCCCTACTACTGCAAAAACTTCCATATTTTCTCCAGAACCACTTCCTACACCTTTTATCTTTAAAGAACAGATCTGACTAGTTCTTCATAAGACACTTAGTTTTAGCATTATGTGGCTCCTGAACAAGCCTGTAGCTCTAAGACAATATACCTCAGTCCAGGATGCTGCTATACAATGAGTTTTAAAAAGGCTTTTGGAGATTTCTTTATTTTGCTGTGGTTGTTTGGGTTTGTTTTTTGTTTACATAAAGGGCTTTTAATTAACTAGTGCTAATTTTAGTAGTCTCAGAACAAGACTGGGCATGTGCAGATCTCTGTAATTATCTAAAAAAAACTCCATACAAGAAATTACCCAATGATTCAACTAAAAGTGCTGGAAATCAAGTGATTCATTCCTGCAAAAGACCCAATAGTCCTTCACTAAGGAGACTCAAGGCCTGGCTCACAAAAACCAAATTGTCCAGCAGTCTGCCCTACCACTGTGCTGGCCTGGACACTGATTGAAGGGTACAGAGAGCTAGCTGGTCCTCCAGAGGAAAAGATGGCACAGGACAGGCACAAACTGTCAATTCAAGCCCAGCCACCACAGGCAGTACATCCACAGCTGTGCATTACCGACCACTTTGTCTTCCTGGAGCACAACTTAGCCTTAGCTGGAGATAGACTAGGGGAGAAAAGGACATCTGTTCCACCACACACAGCTGAGAGGTATTTTGAACAGCTCCACTCACCCAGGGGAGTGTCCACCAAGATTGCATTGTAGAGCTCTGCAGGTGTCTGAGCAATGTTCACAGCTTCCATCTGCTCAAAACTTCCCAGAGGGTGGCACTTGGGCACCAGTTCAGAGATGGAACGCTGGTGCAGAGTCCCAGTGATCAGCAGAATGACATTGTCAATCATGTAGCTGTACCTGGAAGAATTAAAGAGGAAGACTGAAATGACATATAATACGAAATCCAGCAACAGGCACACATCATCTCCTTGTGACCATCTCCATAAAGATGCATGCTTCCCACAAAGAAGTACTAAGGCACCTCCGTAGAGTCTGTTTATCATGCCAGCCTAGGAAGAGGCATTCAGGCATAATCCCAGGCTGTGATTTATGCCACAGCTGAACCACACCATCTGGGCACCACCTACCACTGAAGAGCATTAGATTGGAACTGACTTCTGGAGGTGTCTGGCCCCATACCCTGCTCCGAACATAGCCAGCTCTAGCTGTTCAGGCAAAAAGACTTTTGAATGTTCATACAAACTTTGAATTACTTGCAAGGATGTGTATCTCACAACCTCCCTGAGGCTCTGCTTCAGCATCCAACCACATTTGCAATGAAAAGGCTTTTCCCAATGTTCTCCCAGAGTCATTTGTCTATTGTCTCTCATTCTAGTGCCACACACCTCCAAGAGGAGCCTGGCTCCAGTTTCAATGCCAGCAACACTGCTCCATATTGCCAAGTGAAAGGAGGAAGGGTCACATTTCTGCCGCCTCACTCCATTCCAAAAACAACAGGACTGGAAGCTTTGGCACAACCTTCTCTCACACCCTCATGAAACTACACACGAAGTTTTTCGCACCTCTACACCAAAAGCTACAAACTTGTTCACATTAGCCCAAGTTATGACGCCCCAAACCAAGTTCTCCACTTATGTTGTTCAGGATTAGTGGATTCAGTCTTTGGCACTGCAGTAACGGGACATTCAATCCAGAATCACAGCAGCCGGCATAAATTCCACCAACACAAGCCCTTTGTGTCCCTTCTCTCCAGTATGTGCATTTTTCTCCTGTACTGAGAAGCTCAGAATTGGGCACAGCATGCCAGGTGAGGCCTCCACTGAGCAGAGGAGAAAGAATACCTCCCAGTACTCCCAGTCCAGCCGGAGAAGAGAGACACAGCTGGCTTGAAGATTTGGAACACATGAAAGGCTGGTAGCCTTCTCCAAGTAGAAAGTCCACACAAGGGATCAAGGCATCACATAAATACCAAGTGTCCCCAGCAAGAACAGCAGTGATACTCTAGTCACCTTCACTACCATCTGAGGCACAAGCCAACCAAGCTGAGAATCTGAAAAACATCAAATGAGATGAGGGAGTTTTTTAGTCAGCAGAAGTTGCCTTAGCACATATCTCTCAGCAGCACAGGGAGGCACGGATGCTGAAGAGCAGGGTATGTGGCATTTTACGCTCCCTTGATCTCACTGCTAACTCTGAAAAGTTAGATGATGAAAAAGACCTGAAGAAGCTCCTTGGCAGAAGAGGCTTCAAAACAAATGAGATCATGCCTGAACTAGAATGGCAGAAGGAGCTATGCACATTGATTTGAAGCTCTGCTGAGAGTCAGGCTTCCCACAGGTACTTGAGTACTGAAGAAAGGGAACTTAAAGCCAGCATCCTGGGACTGAGGTGAAGACAGGCATGGCAAGGCTCTGGTGATGTTTGCCAGACACACATTGGGATGCTGCTGGTCTTTGTACTTCCAAGCTAACAAAGAGCACAGTGCAGACCTGCTTCCCTTTAAGCACATCAAAGGCAGCCAAGCAGAGCCAGTTAAAGGCAGATTTTGCTAGTTTTTATTAGATGGGCTTACTGCCTCTCAAATATGCTCAAAGGGCACGTCCATGAACAAATCAAATCCACACCTTAGTTCCTCAAACAGGTGCTGCTTTTTTCTCTCCACACTGCAAAGCTGAGTAATGCACCTCCTGGCCCTACAATTTTTGCAGAGCACCCTTTTGTTTTTGCAGCTTACCTTTCCTGGTTCAGTCTAGAACCAGGGCAATCAGCACAAGCTTCACGTACTAAGAAACCTCCTTTTGCCCTTTAATCCACAAGGTCATTATCTTCCCTCCTGTTTGTGCAGCTCTCACCATGGAGATGATTGCAATCTCCAGGACAGCAAGAAGGGCCTGTTTATGAGAACTGAGGTAAGTCCCTTGCAGCAAGCAGCTAGTTCCTGGTAAATAAAAGCATCTGCACCCTAACACAGATGCTTCTCCATGAGGTGCACCAGAACAAGGATACAGAAGATCATTTTCCAGCTCCACCATCTGCTCTCAAAATGCACGTTTCCTTAGTGGAACACAGTAGCTTTAAGGAAAGACCATAGGCAGCACTTCTCTCAACAGAGCAAGGCAACAATATACAACCGGACCAAATCTTTTATTTTAACTCAGCCTACAGTGAAGGAATAGGTAAGGAAATACAGTCATGTATGCCAGCACACCTCCTTCCTATCCCAAGTTTACTACAGATACCAGTCTCCACAAGATATCTGCAAGAAGCCTGGCCGAAGGCAACTGTACAAGAAAGGAACTGAGGAGAAATGTCTGGAGCCCTACTGCTCTCAGGTCTTTAGAGCAGCTTACTAGAGTCCCAACCAAGCTAATTCATGACTTCCCAGTCCAGCTTAGCACAAAAGCCACAGCTTTGGGAGAGCCACCAAAATCTGATTCTCTTCACACATGGAAGCTCCTACTTTTGGACTGATGGTCTCAGGAAAGACAAACCAGCTGGCTTCCAGTGCGAGAGAGCAAAGCATGGCTCTCCTTGTTTAATCTATACCCCTTAGCTTGATTGTTTCCTCATCCTTCAGGGAGGTCTGGGAAATGCACCGTCTATAGCCCAAATGCCAAGGAGGCACCAACTGTTTTAAAGATTACTTCACCTCCTTAAATCTTGCTGTCAAAGGATTCATCCCTGCAGGAAGAGTTAATATGCATGAGACTTAAGCAGAATTCTCACTCAAAATTTTCTTCTGACCATTTAGAACCTTCACAGTAACAACAGAGATACAGCAGAACAAAGTCTTCTGGTACCTGGCAAGACCAGGCAGACACCAGCAGCACTACCTAATCCTTCACGCTAGATCCATTTACTTCAAGCAAGGCCAGACCATCCTTATTCACATTCAGTCCCTACTTCATCCCAATGAAACCAGTCACAGCTTAGCCACTCATGGCTACGTGGCAGGTCTTCCAGTGCCAGGGCAGCCGGAAAAGCCTCTTCTCATCTGTGGAAGGGGCAACAGTCACATTGTTGTGTCAGGTTTCAACAAAGACCCATCTACCTCCATCAGCAAAGCTGTCCCAAGACCACAGCAGAGGTCCTGGCTATGCTGGCATTTTCTCCCAGGCCCAAAGAAATAGATTAAGTACAGTGGCAACATTGTTTCTAGGAATCTCCAACTACTTGTGTAATACAGCAACTTTTGTTGTCATCTCCCTTCATCATCTCCTATAAGGTTCTGACCAGCTTCAAATGTTTCAGCTCTCCTGGTAAACGCCTGCTCAGATGCCTCCAAGAGTGTTTTAACCTTCATTAACTCTCAGTGCAGGTAATAAGAGGACCAGGTTCTGGAACACGTAAGAAAATAGAAGTAGTTTGTCACTTGCAACATCATGAAGTCTTACTTCAGCCCACTTGGATGGTCTCTTCATAGCAAAACTCTCTTGCACAAACGCATTTTACACTCCTCCTCTGAACTGTTTTCTGCACACCCAGGGACATGGGCACAAAACCAGCCAGAGTCTGACATGCACAGTTACACCAGGCATAACCCTTCCTGTCACCCACTGAACAGAGGTGTGTATGCTCCAGAAATTTACATTCACAGAAATGCAATTTCAGTCAATACTTAGAAATGTCAGTAACATCTCACAGGAGAGTGTAATTTTTTATTAAAGGACAAAAAAAGAGACAGCAAACATAGAAATATTCTCAGCATCATCCACAACAGGGAAAGAGACAATGATTTACAGCTTCCTGAAGTCTGAGACAACTGGAGCCACTTTCTTTGCTCCTCCAGCGACTCCCACTGCAGAACAATATGCGTTCGGTGACACTCAGATAAGAACAACAAAGTCAGGCTGGGATATGCCTAGAGAAGCCAAAAGAGGGGGGCTGGTGGGGGAAACCTTCCTTCCAGCAGCAGCAGGCCAGAGATCATTCTGACTGATCGTTTTGGGAGGTATCGCCTCAGGCAGACACCCCTCACAGAGAAGAGAGGAGAGCCAGCCCCCAGAAGCTAAATCCTGACATAATCACCCATGGGTAGCTATGGAGCAGAATCAGGCAGGAGTAGAGCACAAGTGCAAAAGCCACGCACAGTGATGACAATGCATGTTTCCTCCTCCTTGCATTACATAAGGACAGACACCGATAAATGAGATATGCCCACTGAATATCTGGAAAGGCTGTTTTAGCAGGGGAGCACATGAAATGCATGAACATTCATCACACCGGCGGGTGTTCACAACTTGGCCTCAAGGCACTCAGGCACAGCCCTGCAAGGCAATGACCCCAAAACAGTTACAGCTTCTCCCTCCCCCATTTACTAATCTAATCATAAAGAGTCATTGTCCTACAGCAGATAGGTTGGTCTTTTATTGCTTTCTGTTCCAGGACACTAAAAAAACCGTTAACAATACTGCAAGTGGTCACAAAGCATGACTAATGATGGAACATTGTATGACCTGAGATTCTCAGGGATCCTCCAAAAGTAGAGCCAAACTGTAGCTTAACAGCTGCTCTGCAAGGGATCATGAGGACAGCCCTCCATGTCACAGCCAACAGACAGCTGTGGGCCAACGCAGAGGTGCATAGAAGGGGTTTTGTTGGGATGGGTTAAGATATTGCCTTGCTCAGGTAGCTTTAATGCTTTCCAAAACCAGCATTAGATGTTAACTCAGACTACTGTGAGCATGGCCAAAGTTCCTATGTGACTGCACTGGGCAGTTACTCAGATTACTATAGAAGCATGTATTTATTTTGGGATGAAAAAGGGAAATTTCCAGTGGGATCATAACAGTGCTCTGAACTCGGCATGAATTCTAGAGACAGCTTTAAAAGATAATGAAGTTGTTTTGACTATACTTTAGCATCTAGTGCTTCCCTCTTGCAGCTCATTCAGTTCACATACTTAGGGGGTGTTGGGAAAAGTAACTTAGGGAAAAAGTTTCAGGCTGCTTGTACCACTGCTTCCTTGTGTCTGTGCATAAATACACAGACCCATCTATATCCCACTGGATACTGTGCTAGTACAGAGGCTAGAGCCACTTGTCACACCTCTCTCAAGCTCCAAATGTTAAGCAGCCACGGGGGAAAGCAAAACACAGACTTCAAAGCCCAAAAGAGCAGTGACACTAAGAATAGTGCCAACAGCTGAGATATTTGTATCCGCAGGGTCGGCTTAAGATCATTAGTAAATAAGTGCACAGATGTCCTGATCTGGATAGGAGAGGAATGTTGCACATCAGGAAGATCTCAGTGCCTCACTGAGACTTGTTTGAGTAATAGACAATGGATGTGAACAGAGTCAAATCCTTTAATCAGTTTTTCAGCTCGTATTAGAACATGTCAGATCAGCAGCAGTTCTACCTCTCATCTTCAGCTGAAGCTCAGACAGTCCAGGGAAGAGCAAGAGCAGATGCAGTAAGTGATGGTCTCTGCTCAAGTGTCCTTTCTGGTCTCTTCCTATCTTTGCACAGTATCCTTCCTCGAGTCACACCAATACAAACCATACCTAAGTGCTACATTCGTGAACCTGCCAAAGAGAAAGCTGAGAATTCCATGGTTGCTACCACAAACCAAGGGCACTCAGCCAGTAAGTGGGTGCTCTGCTAAACTTAGATCAACAAGACCATTTGAGAGCAAAGAGTTATAACTTCACAGTACTACAGAGGCTGTGGCAGCCTTTCAAAACCAAGTATCCAGGAATGTTCTCAGCATTAATCTATATTTAGCTGTATCTCCACATGATTTTTACCATTCTCTACTCTGGGTCTCTTGGGATACTGACCTCAGTTTTCCACTGGTATCATCTGTTCACTTACATGCAGCGATACAGTGTTAGCTGCATTAAAGACTAACGAGAAAAAAGCTACAAAAATTAATTGTCAATACAATTAATTACCTTAATTTTAAGGCTTATGAATTTGAGTCAGTGTTCTTGATCTGTAAAAACCCCTTGAAACACCAGGGAATGTTTTGAACACCTTGCAGCCTGGTGCAAGAATCTCTGGTTACCTAAACTTGATGCCTCAAAGCCTGAGAAACACAAGGCTGATATGCAAAGCTGAGCCCTGGTACTGTGCACCATGTTGAGCTGACCTGAGCCCTAATTAGATTTTAAATATTGACCAAAAACATGTAATCATGCTGCTTTCACAGGGACCAGCTGCAGAAGTCAAACTTGCATAAAGTTTTTTGGGGTTTGTGCTGTAAAGCACAAACCCCAAAACATTTAATGGATATAAAATAAGAGGAAAGGCTGCACTGTTCACATTATTCCCCCAAATGAGTTTAGAGGCCTAAAAGCCTTTACCTGCTTCTCAGTGAATGCGTGGTCTGGACCCAGCCACTGTGCAGAACATCTCTTGTGCATACAGACCTGCTGTCAGCAGAAGACAAGAAAATTTATCATCCCACCTGACATGCAGTAAACCATATGAGGTAGACACAAGATTTAGCTTAGCCTCTAAATATTGTGGTACTTGTGCAAAGCTCTACACAAGTATTTGCTAGACTTCAAACTAGCCTACAGAATAGACCTGGGAGAGGGGACTAGGACCCAAGATACCCCCAGGAAGACTTCAGAAGCAGTACCCTTGGCCTCCAGACCTTCTCTGGGCTGAACTTGTGAGTCTAGAGCATTGGGTGAGGCAAATGAAGCTGCTGAGGTCAAGCATGAAAGACCTTGGGAATGGTGTCAGTCAACGAGTGAAGCACCTTACATGGGAACAGAATTGCTTAGCAAGTGCACACTCAACTAATCACCCAGAGCCTGCATGCTAGAGCCCCTTCTCAGACTCAGCAGAGTTTCACCAATGACTTACCTTAGTAACACATGGGCTGACATCTGGAGCTCATCACTCGCTTTTTGCTGCATCTTTATTACCACCAGTAACATTCTGTTACCTTTTCTGATCATTGCCACAGCTCACTGTTTGCCAGTGTTAACACACTGTGAAGAACAGTGCTGCTCCATAGGAGAACAGTTAGGTTGTCCCCATTCAAATCCACTGGCCAAATGAAATGTTTTTCAGGTATCAGGGAAAAAAAAAACTCCATCCTTTTAACATAGTATACAGAAACACACACAGTATATAGAAACACACTTTTCAAAGATTCCCTTTCTAATGAGGGCACCCACAGTCACACTATGACTCCCAAAGTCACCACCATGCAAACCAGTCCATCATCACAGACATCTGGTTCTGGGAAACCAGTATGAGATCAGCATCCTTTGGGAATGCAGGTGAACAGATACAGCTCTGATGCCACCATTCAGAAGATACAAGGCTCTGATCATTTCCAGACCATTAGCTACATGCCCTCTAATTTGAATATTGCATAATCCCTCCAAGAACTTGGCTTATCAGTTCAACTTTGCACTCCCTGCAAACAGGGAAGCTGTTTGTCAGAAACCTGTGCTGCTTTGCCAAAACAATCTCTGCCAGAAAAGGCTCTTAAACCTTTTATTGCAGAATCCCCAGCCACTATGGTCATTTTTGCTTCTTAACCCCAGTGCCACCAAGGAACCTGACTGAAATAGTATAGTGTAATTTTAAATGCAGCAGCATTAGGAAAGATCCTTCAGATTGTTGGATTTGTCCCAATGAACTACTCCTAATGTAAAGCATTTGGAGGGCTTTTTCCTTCTGCAGGAAAGGATTTCAAAAGGATGCAGTTATATTTTGTAACCTCCACAGTTATACCAGGATGCACACTCCAATACATTTAGAATGAAGACAGGCAACTTCCTACTATAGAGAAGAGGATTAGTACTATTCAGCTTAAGTAGCAATTGAAACAATTTGGCTCCAGAAAAACCACTGCTGCAAAATTAAAACTGAACTCAAAGTTGTGCAGCAGAAACTAGATGTATCCAGTGCAGGGGAGAGGCAGAGCAGGACTGGGTCAGGGAGAAGGTAACAGAGGGAAGTGTCAGTTAAGAAAAGGCACGTGCAAGGGGAAAAGGTACATGCAGCCTCCTCAAAAACATATCTTGTGACCACAAAAACATACTGAAAGCCAAGTTCCCAGCTGCATCCCCAGGGCAAAAAAAGAACCTGTTTCCCAGCCCTTGCAGGCTGGTAAGATAAAGATAAAAAATGACCTAGTCTGTCCTCTGATGACAGGCTTGATCACAGATTTGGAAGATGTATTTAGACCCGGCTTGCCTGTAGCCCTCACTCCCACAGCACCCCCAGTGTCCACAGTTACCAGCAGTCCCTCCCTGAAGACAAGACCAAACCCTTCTCTGCTCATCAGTTTGCTGTGAGAGTTCAAGGAGCCCAAGAGCTGCCAGAGCCCTGACACTGGTCAGCTGCAAAGCCAGACTTCCCAGAGCAGGGAAAAGACTGTGCTAAAGAAAGGGGAAAGGGAAAAAAAAACCAAAACAAGCCCCAAACAAAAAAATGCCACACAACAAAAACCAAACAAACCAACCAACCCAAAAAAAACACTAAACCCTTTTCTCTGCCACTGGAAAAATACTAAAGCTGTTAATATGATCAGGCTACAGTAGGCTGGAGTCAGAATTCTTTAAAGTAATGTTGCTCCTATCTAAGCCATATACAGGAACACTGGAAGGAAGGAGAGACAGGCTATGGCACCGTGTCAGGCTAACACAAAGAACAAAGCCTGTACAGAAAGGCAAGGCAGCACATCACTAAGAAGAACCTCAAACCCACTTCCATCCCACAAGTCAATATGTGCTTGTTGAATTCAGGAAGTGGCTTTTGCTGTTTCAAGAACACTTAATACCTGTTTGTTGCTGCCCTACAGAACATCACTGCATTCCCTCAGCCAAACAGTCCATTGTTTGTGTTGGAGCAGAGATATTAACAGACAATTTGTGCCTATCACTCAGAACCTACTATGGTTGGCTGAAAGACATGGGAAGCACCAGCAAGCTTCCAGCAAGGAGCTGCGTGGCAAGAGCTAGCAGGTGTGCTATGGAGACTGCAGCAGGCTCAGCAAGTCAAGCTTTCTGCTTGCAGTGGCAGAGGCTGCCAGCTACAGCTACCACTTGAAAAAACAAAATGAGGAAGTTGGCTGATTTCCCTTATTTTGGTACTAAGAACACAACACTTGCCACAGAAGAGTTCCTGGAGAGAACCAGAGCCAGGAAAGAGTCAGTGTGGTGCCAGGAGAGGAGCATAACAGGACAAAAAAAAAAATATTCTGTGTCAGCAAGTGACTTGGGGAGCAAAGCCCTTACTTTGGGGTTGCTGCCTAGACGTGTTCTGGAGTCAGTTTTGTTCCCGTGCTTTTAAACACTGTCTTTTCTCCTATGCTCAGTATAGAGGCTAACTCCTGCCCACCTCCCCAGGTGACCATCCTCATCCAGCGTGCTGTGCACCTGGGACAAGGAAGCACGGGGCTGGAGTGCCACCTTCCGGCAAGCAACCGGCAGCGCGGCCTCCCCTCCCTGGAGCCGGGCATGGAACACATACCCTCTGCTCCAGAGCCCCTGCACTGCCCCATTGCTGCTTCTCCTTCCCCTGGCCTCACTTATTGCAGGGGCTGCTTCAAAGCGGCAAGTGAAATGACATGGTATCATTCCACCTGGGACAAACGGCATGGCTCCTGGCAGCTTGGTGCTGGGGCCAGAGGAGTCAAGGACTACAGCTGCTCCCACAATCAGACATTTCCCCAGATCTCAGCAATATGTTCTGGGTCAGATCGGAGCATCCTCAAAAAACAAGCACAACAGTCACCTGATGATGCACTCAAAACCACCACAAAGGTTCAGCAGGACACTCTGGAAGAAGAAAGCATGACTGTTTTTCAAATGCTTGATCCACCTCCTGGCATCAGCCATGCACAGCCTGGCCACTATCAATGAGTGTTAACAGGCCCCAATGTGCCCATCTTACTTGAGGTTATCCAAGAGTCCTAAGAAGGCCAAAAAGGTAAGTACATACAAACATCCAAGCAGCAGTGAGCTTCAAAGCTGAACTGGACATGCTACAAAACATTTCCTTCCAATTTGAGCCAGACACACCTCCTACAATCCCACTCAATGTTAAAAATCTCTGTTTACAACTCAAAAGAGGTCTCGGTGAACTCAAGCTTTCCTCCTGCAGAAGCCAGCCCTGCTCAAATTTTCCACATCTTTCTATTTTTTATTTCACTTCAGCCTGTATACTATTAGCACACTGATACATCCAGTTGAGTACAATTTCCTCTTCTGACCACCTGGTGCCTCAATTGCCTTGAGCTGACTACCAGGAGCAGTCTTTATCATTTCCTGCTCAGGTTTCAACTACCCTGAAAGAATGGAGTGGGAAATAGTCATGTTCAAAAGGCAAAGATAAACCACCCCCTATCTGCCTATGCACCCAGAATGAAAAATCGAGAGGCACAGGCTTGTCCCAGCGTCCCCCAAGCAGGCAGGATGACACAGCACCTCCGGGTGCACAAGCACAAAATCCCCAGCACTGCCAACATCCTTTGGCTGAACATTTTTATGGTGCTGCCTCCATACAAGCCTGAACTACATGAAAACCACTGGCACAAATATGTGCTACCAGCTCTGAAGAGAGCTGCTTTCCACTCCAACTATTTGGGACACACATGTGAAGTTTTACACTGTCAGCAGACAAAATCTCTGAAATTTCTGTCCCCTGCCCCAAACCAAGACTACAACAGCTCAAGGGACAGTTTCAGGGAACACAGTCTGAAAGGCAGCTCAAGAAGTCACATCTAGTCTATCCTCTTTTCCACTAGGCTGTCACCAAAATACTAGGTTTATCAAGAGAAAACACTAAGACCCACTGGGCAAAAGCAGCACTCTCTCTAAACTCCTTGTGGCTCACAGTATCTTCTGTTCTAACCTGTCTATAGAGTCAAGTTATTGGAGATTTTAATACCCTGATAGTGACTCCCACCTTGGAGCAGTCAAAGCTGGTAACACCTTCTCTACTTCAACAATACCCCACTGGTGTGATAAGTGCAGACCCAGAGGAGACCCCTACATCAGTGGTGCAGCAGAACCATGACAAAAAACAACTGAACACTTGACCTCCTTGCACAAAAGACTCTACAAGAGAGTGCAGACATTTCATATGAGAAAACAGGCTTTTCCTGCTTCACCTTTTGCCCTCCTCTAGGCAGCACTGCAGACAGTGGCATTAAAGCAAATCTTGTGGGTAAAAAGGAAAAGAAGAGATAAGAGTGAAGACAATTTGAGGAAGGAACATTCTGTGCTGAACAGAACCAATGTATTCAAAAACAGATTATCCAGTAGCAAGAGATAGAGGTACCTGCACAGAATCATGTTTTGCTGTAGAGAAGTCATCAAAATCAGAATGACAGAAACAAAACAATATCAAAGTTAAATCAAGTTGAGGGCAGAACACCAGGTTTAGAAAGTGATTCCAATAGCTGGTAAGAACAAGCCTTTCTGATTACACAAGATACTTAAGGTCTTCTTCAAAATTCAAGGTGGATGTAGACACTGCCTAAAGATCAAGAGGGCTGAAGTAAAAGGGAATTGAAGTTCCATGGCCATCTGTAGTCTTCTTCCCAAGACAGGTGTGAGGTCTGAGGCCATTCAGTTCACATTTTCCACACACTGGTTTTTGAAGTGGGACTGTTAGGCAACAGCAAAGTTTTACAGTCTGCAAGATTCTGCTGTGCTGCCCAAACTATTGCCTTTAAACAAATATGACTGAAGCATTAGTGATTACTATATTAATTCCATGGAGACATTTTCATAAACCTGTAACACAGCAAAGCAAAAGCAACAGCAGAGGACCACCCACCTAATATTGCAAAGCTAAAACAGCAATTTCTGTCTTGACATAAAATTCAAGATAGGCAAAGAGGTGTTTTAACAGTTAATTTAATTTTGAGAGAATAGAAGAGATTGCTCCATATAATTAAAGATGATGAACTAGAAATTGCTTCATCCATAGCAAACACTGCTGCAAAATGGAAGCTTAGTAATGTTTTGCTCCATGCTTGGGTCCAAACAAGAAAACTCCAGAAATTTTACTGACAAGCTTATAAGTAAAAACTATTTCTTAGAAAACAGGAAAGGCTTAGGAGACAGCTTTAACACACTGACATAGAAAACAACAGATATGAGCCTCTGGGTTAGAAAGTGAGATAGCAGTAGCATCCAAACAAAAAGGAGTGAACACAAAGGCATGTGGCAGAGAGATGGGTGTTTACTTGATATTTGTAAATGCAGGAAATGCCACAGAGATAGGAAAACTTAAAATTTTTCCATCAACCACAAAGGTCTTTCTACATCAGCCTGCATCATTCAAAAACCTGTAGCTGATAAGCAGGACAACACACAATTGCCAAAAATTCAAGACTAAATATCACTTGCCAGAGCACTTGTGATGAGCCCAGGCTCACTGTACCAGAGGTGATACATTAACTGTCCCACTCAGGAACAGAGTATGATCTCCTTCCTAGAAATACAAGTTAAAGTCATGTTCTACCAAACCAGAAAGTCACTTTTGTCCATGAGGTATCTCCTTGGTGGTTAGAGGAGACCATTGGCTGTGCAGTTTGCAAGCCAAACTAGAGCCTACAGGATTACAGAGTAAGGAAAGGAAAAAACTCAATTTTACGTCCATGTTTTGGATGCAAGTTAGGATAACTAGTGTCCCTCTACAGTTCCATTTTGTTACTGAACAAAACAAGAACAGCCCACTGGGAAGAAGAGGGTTGTGCAAAACCTCTGCGAGAATATACCTCACGACTTTTGAGCTATTTGAAACCCCATGTGTTTCCATCAACTGTCAGAGACGTGCTGAGGCTGCTGCAGCCCTGTGTTTCCCTACTGTGCATTCCAGGCCCTGCCATCCCCTAGTGCTGGCATTTGCTGGATCCCACTGTGCTGTCCAAGAAAAACAAAGCAGTCAAAGGTTAACCCCAAAAGGGAAAAGTTGTTCAATTTCTGGACAGCTCAGCTCCCTGAACCAGTTTGTGATGGGGCCAGAGGAAGACCTACAGTCCCTGGGGTGGGACAGGAGAATCACATCAGCCCTGAAGTAGGCTGATCAACCTCAATGGCTCAGAACTAGCAGGAAACTGTTGTAATGCACATGGCATGGCATGCCAATGTTTTGCAGCAGGACCACAGTTTTAAAAAACCAAGAACATTTAACACAAGGGACAAAGATAAATGGTACCTCTAAGAGACTGAATCAATACTGCAATGGAAGGCAGCCAAGCAGCTGTACCAATGGAGCACATGCTTTCTGGGAACAGAAGCTTTTAACAACACAGTGATACAATGCTGCTGCTTTGAGACCTCCAAATACAACCACACCCGTTTCATTCAAGAAGCTGCATAAAACACAGCAGGCACAGGCAGAAAGGTCTGAGTGCTCTCAAGCCTGGAAGAACACCAGCATTTCAAATGCTGTTCATGACCAGTGGGTACTCACGTGATATAGTCCAGAAAACTTGCCAGGGGCTCATACGCGTGGTTCCTCATGTGACGGAACTCCACCACCATCTTCTCCTTCAGCTTGTCATCAATGACAGACACAGTGAGCGGGGAGGCTTCATTGGCCAGGAAGTTCCCATAGTCTGTGCTCTGGAGGTGCAGTTTCAAGTCTGAAAAAGAAAGAATAATTCCACTCTAGAGTGTTTTGGGCTGGGTTTGGGGTCTTTTTTCAGCATAGCCAAGAAAGCTGTTGCTCAGCACTTCTCTAGGCACTCTCTTCTCTGAAAGATCACGTAGACAAAACCCATGTGTTAGGTCATACACTATGTATGTGCTCAGTTTTATCATGGACAACCCAAATACAGGAAAAGATCAGTGTTTCACCAAATCAGCCTTGCCTCATCTTAAAGACAAATCTGTGACACCATCTGTGCAAGTGAGCACACACACTGGTGCCAGCTGTTCACTCTGCTAGGTCAAGGTGGAAGCTTACTGATTTTCTAGAAGATACTTACTAGAAATCTAGGGGGAGAAGAAAACGAAAAAACTTAAACACTCTGTCTAGCCAAAAGGGCTCATCTGAAAAATCACATCCAAGAACCTAAATGCACACACAGCAAGTCTCCCCAGATACCAGTGATATGCAGGCATTTGTAAAGCTTTCAAAGCCCAAAGGACAGAAACAGCAACTTAGAAATTATAAACCATCTTGGTCTTACATTATCCAAGCAGCCCAGCTAATTGTGCTGGTAAATAGAATTCAGGCATTAATAGGTAGAGAGGGGCTAGTGAAGATGAAGACCATTTAAATGTATCTCACAGGGTAGGCAATCTCTGCTCAGGATGGAAGAACATGCTCAGAAGTCTTCCCCTTCTCCAGTTTCAAGCAGAGGAAACCTTTGTTTCCTCTGTTACCCCTGCTTGCAGGTCAGGTGCCCAACCAAGCTGCAGTCCTGGCCAACAAGCAACCACAACATGCTGAGTTTTGTCAAGATAAAAGCCAAAAGCATTTAAGCGTCTCTGTGGAAAAACTGAATCCAGAATTAAGGAACGTCATACAATCCTACTCCTCAAAGCTCTACTAGTTGCATTGGTACACAATGTTCATCTCCCTTCAGCTTCACCTCAGAGAGCCAGTTAAGCAAGCATCCTCAAAGGGATTCAAGACCTTTATGGGGTAAGGAGAGGAGCTGGAAGAATTGAGTCAAACCAGATGTGAACACACCGTCCAGAGAAAACAGAAAAAATTACATTTCTCCCTAGTTTTTCTGAAGCAGCACTACTGAGGCTGCCTTTCCCTCTCACTGAGCCATACAAGTCCTCAGCATTATGGCAGAAGCATCCACAGCACTGAGGTCAGTGGAAGCACACAGCCTGGTTTGAGGAGTTTGATCTTTTGACATTACACCCAGTCATGGGCAGGAGCTGGAGAGCTCCTCCTCAGGCTCTAACCTGCGCTTGTGCAGCATGATATTGTTCTCACCATGAGGAATCAGGGGTCAAACAGCTTCCAAGGCAACTGACTCTTCTGGGTATTTCCAATGAGGTCTAGCAAAGATGGTTTTGACCCAGCACTCCTTAGTTACAAGGACGTTCCCACTGCTCAGTGTTGCAGAAAACAGATGGGAGTTTGCAGGGAAGGAAAATAAAGGCCAGAGACTTAAATATCACTCAGTTTGTCACATTTCTCAGTGGTTTACATGAGAGTTTTAGGGGCACTTGTAGAAAAGAGAGGATTCTGCTCCTCTAGTTGGCTCTGGTGAGACCCACCTGCAGCATTGCATCCACCTCTGGGGTCCTCAGGAGAGGAAAGACATCAAACTGTTGTGAAAAGGTCCAGGAGAGGCTCCAAAGATAATTAGTGGGATAGAGCATCTCTCCTATGAGGGAAGGCTTAGAGGATTGGAATTGCTCAGCCTAGAGAAGAAAAGGCTCTAGAGAGACCTTATTGCAGCCTTTTGATACGTGAAGGGGCTATAGGAGAGTTGGAGAGGTACTTTTAACAAGGGCATGGAATGACAGGATAAGGAGTAACGGCTCCAAACTGAAAGAGACTAAGTTTAGCTTGGATATTAGGAAGACATTCTTCCCTGGGACAGTGAGGTACTGGCAGAGGTTGCCCAGAGAAGTTGTGGATGCCTCATCCCCAAAGTGTTTCAAGGCCAGATTGGACAGGGTTTGGAGCAATCTGGTCTAGTGGAAGGTGTCCCTGCCCATGGAAGGGGTTTGGAACAAGATGGTCTTTAAGGTCCCTTCCAACCCAAATCATTCAATAATTCTGTGAATCCTGGATGCAGCAAAGAGAGCTCTCCATCCAACTACATACATCAAGGCTGAAGCAAATCAGAAATCTAACCTAGTTCTCTGTTCCCCAGGGTAATCTGCAGCTGAACAGCTGTGGTTTATTCTACCAAATCATGGTCAACCTACGCTCACACTTGCAAGGGAGAAGACATTGCCTGGGTAACTCAGTTGAGTCTGCAACACGAACCCTGCCACAGAGTCAAACACCAGATCATGCCAGAACTTGGACAGTCCCTCACCTCCACACAGCCTGCACAGGATTATTATTGATCGTAATCATGTCCCAAAATCTTCAAAAAGCACAGCACAGGGGCAGCACAAAGGGTTCTGACCCACCTGTTCTGCAATTGCTTGATTTCTGAAAGTGAAGATAGATGGGAAAACTAGCTGAACTACATCTTAATGAGTTTTTGTCCCACTTTTTAAAGCTCCTGAATGATGAACTTTGGAGTCTGAGTGAAAATTAAGCTCCTGACAAATTAGGACTTTACTAGTTTACTTTTAGAAGAAACTGGAGAAAACATGGAACAAAATTATCAATTAATATGTTCAGTGAATATGAGAGAAAATCTGAGTTTATGGGTATAATATACCAAAATAATGGTATATTATACCCATAAACTCAGATTGCAAGGGAAGGCACAGGGAACTGCAGTAGTTGCATTTGTGTAGCTCCTACTTGCAGTTTCCTGTAGCTGTGCAGAGCTCTCATGGAAGCTAAGCCTGCCCGAAAAGGCATGTGATGTTGTTTTGCAGCATAAAGGACCTTGGAGAGGAAGCAGCTATTGCATATCCTCCCAGATCTGCCTTCAGTAGCGAAGCTGCCAAAACTTGTTTCCTCAAGTCCAACACCATTGGTTGTTTTGGTGTCATCACAACCTGAAACTCTGCTTGTGAGGTTGCCAGCAGCTGTTTTGCTATCATGTCACTTGATGCTATTCAGTGACACAAAAAGAAGTTTGCTGTACTTCCAGGAAGTCAGAGATGCACTGCATCTAGACCAGAGGCACACAGGCTGCACATTCTGCCTTGCAGGCTCTCCAACAGCTCTGACCAAGCTCCCATGAGCTGCTTGGCTGGAACATTTTGCCCTGCTCCATGAAAGGGTTGTCCCCCCAACTCCACAGCACAAGAGCCAGCACATTATGTTGCAACTGGAATAAGGGCCATGTTTATATAACACTTGGAATTCATTTTTATAAGGAAGGCCAGCCACAAGCTGCAGGACTAAACTTTTCTGAATCTCTTAGCATCCAAGCAGACAAAATGGAACATATTTTCCAAAAATTGGACCGGATTTATGAACCCTGACTCAGTGCATCCTACGGTGTATCAGTGCTTTACACTAGCCTGCCCTCCTCCAGCTGCTGGGCTTGTCACCAAGCCTCAGCCAAGAGGGTTTGGGAGCTTTTAATAGGACTATTCACATGTCAAGCTTCTCAGATGAGAGCAAACTAATCCCGTGGTTTCATATATCTGCTGCCAGAAGAGCTGTCCCAGTAGCACGGTGACTAATAAATGGACCCACTGCTGAGCAAGCCCCAAGCTCTCCAAAAGCCCAGGTTCCTAACACAAGCTTAGACTGAGCTGGAGTTGACCTCTGGCAGCGAGAGCAGCACCTTGGCAGGGGCAGCTGCCAAGATCCCACAAGCTGCATGTCGATAAGACACTGTCTGCAAGGCTTTTGCAGTACCTCCTCCTCAGCTGCTGCTGAGGAGGGAGACCTGCACCTGGAGCCCAACCTCTCCTGATGAGTTCCTCCAGATACGGATCATTGATTTTAAGAGATACATTTGCCTGTTTTGGCATTTTTCCAAGCAGTTCACACACTTTATGTAACAAACTGAGCCAACATTTGGCAAGGGAGCACTTGAATGACCACAACACTTACGTTCTCTCTCCTCCCCCGCAAAACCTAGGAAATTATGGCCAGGTCACTGCTCCCAGAAAGTTGCTTCGTGCAAGAACACAACTGTTTGTCAGAATGACAGCCTTTTTCAGATGGGTAGGGTAGTGCTTCGGATTACCATGACATGGACTTACAGCCACCTCCTATCAACTCTCAGGTCAGGCCCTCTGGTTTTCGCGCAGCTGCGTGTACATGAGCCACAAACATAACCAGAGCTTAATTCAACACACTGCTGTGCCAACATCTTGACATTTCAGATGACATCTTCACAAGAGACTTTATATCTGCACTAATGCAGCTATCCTCTCCTGCAAATTTGCTTTGACATAACACGGAACCAAGTCATTAGTCTGTCAGACATCTGTCAGTCAAAGCCTTTCCTGTAAGCCCTGCTCAGACAGAGTGATCCATGGCCCCATGAGCTCAGACTTCCAACCCTTCCTTCTTTCCTGCTCTAACTGCATTGTAGAGCTCTGAATCAAGTTAAGGGCTCAAGCACTTCCAGGCAGGACTGATCTGTCTTCTCACGCGTAGGCACAGAATCAGCTTCCGCACCTTCTGAGCTGAACCGATGTTTTCACAAATTATCTGCTGTAACCTTGACATCTTCCTCCAAAGCACCTGGGGCCATCACCACCTATATAAAAAATTAAAATATCAATTGCCATCTCCCAGGCTGCAGGCAGTAAAGCAGCCGAGGGATCACATAGCAATCTGTAGACGAGCTACATCGCCCACGTCTCCCTTCGGGAGACTGCAGCCATTACCATTTACCTTCTTGCTGTTTGTTTGGTCTGTTTATATCCACCTCAGACACTCCTGAAGCTGATTCTCTGAAATCTCACTCAAGAAGAACTCAGATACCCTTTGTTCGCCAGAGAATTTAAGACCTTTCCTGAAGTTGCACAACACCAGCAGTGATGTGCTACCCCTTCTCTGTTGTCAGGCAGTAAATTCATCTGAGCCACAGTTAGAGAGAAGCATCATCTTTGGCTCTTTCCTCCATCAGTATCTCACCTCTGCCTTTTTACCATTTTGACATGGCCTCAGCACCACAGAGCAGCCTTGTGTTTCTAGCCCATCCCTTCCTGGGACTGAACTCATTCCACTCAAGCTTCAAACGCAGCACAGCCAAGCTGTGTTCCATGAAGAGCCCCTGAATTAGGCAGCCCCTTCCTAATCTGTCCAAAAGGCAAGGTAACCTCTCCTCATCTGCCTGCATCCCCAATAAGCTTTTTTGCCCCTCCAAAAGCAGACTGCTCTAAGTCACTCTGTATCCTCAGAAGTCCAATGCAGGACATCAGCCCAGCACCCAGTGCAGGGGTTAAGGGAGAGGCAACAAATCACTCAGAAACTAAAACAAATAGGGCAGAAAACAGTCTCATGCTATAGTTGAGTAAAAACAAGATGAAAGCACTGACAGGCTGCTGATCAGCAATACCTGCCAGGAAACCCAAACACCATCATCATCTAAACAAGGGGCAGGACCCAAACAAGGGCTGAAGCTGCACTAGTACTGAGAAGCTGACCTCAGCTGCTGCTTGAAGTTTAGCTAGGAGAAGCTATGAAGCAGGTCTCTGCCTGGTAAAGGAGGCCAGAACAAACAGCAAAGAGCCTCTGCTGAACCCTGCAGAAAGCCAATGACCACAGTGTTTGTTTGCCACCATGATCTAGCAGGCTATGGAAGTGCCATCATTCTTCCAATAAATGATGCTTTCCTGGAGCTTGTTTTAACAGGACAGTTGATGAAACAGCCACAGACAGCGGTTACACCCATACAGGATGCAAGACGAAGCACCAAGATTAGCAGGACAGCATTTTGGACACTGTTCTGCTGCTGCACGAGAAGTCAGCATTCAGAGGACAGCAGTGGTCTATACTTTCCTCAGGTCTCACCTTGCCTGTAGACTCTGCCTCCTCTGGCAGAAGAAAGCTCTTGGGGCCAGTTCTGCTGCACAGTCCCAGCACATGGGAGTCAACTTTTAACCAGGGCTCCAAGATGTCAGGAGAGTGACAAATCATCATTGTGTGAATGACTGGCTTTTACACCCCCTGAGGTCAGACTGAACCACTCTCGGAGCTCAGGATGAATTTGAAGCATGGCCACACCTTGGGACCATCAAGTGGCCTCTCCTTACTTGGTAGTATAGTAAAGGCTGCACAGGAAAGGATCTATGCTGCTCCCCCCCTTCACACAGGAGAATACCATGAGCTCCACCAAAAGCACTCTTGAAGTCAGTCTGGAGCTCTGCAACACCCCCATACAAGAGAGGACATGCTGCCCATGTGGTTATGTTGAAATAGAAGCCCAGCTCCAGCCTTCTTGGGGCCTAAATTTCAGGACCACAGTGATAAATTGGAAAAGAGATGGGTAGTACAGCCTCTCCTGCTCTTCCCTCCGTGAAAGATGTTCTGAACACCTCAAAGCAATGGCAGCCTGCAGGGGAGAAAAAAGATCCTTGGGATAATGAAAAAAAAAAAAAAAAGCACACACTGCACGCAGCCTGGTGTACAGAAG